GTTGTTGTGGACATATGAACAAGCTAGGGTTTGGGATGCAATGAGATCATGTGCTACTAGGCACTTCAAACATACATATATCTTATAAGAAATATAATAATCTCTCACTCAAAACTTTTTATATATATTTTTCCAAACATTATTCACCAATATTACGGAATTAGTACTCGAAATTGTACTAATATAGGGATATATGGGAATACCTCTTATAAGTTATAAATACACTCATATGTGACAATTACTAATCACTAAACCCACAATAACCAAACCATATAAATATCTATATAGGATATGCCTTCCATGTAATGATCTGCCACAAGAATCCAAAATTCACCAACTTATGAAGAGTCTAAAAATCAAGCTAGAATTACTCGCCATGATCGGTTTGCTTCAACGAGTTCGAGTTCGAGCTAAAGAGTTGAAGTTGATCACCACCGAGAAACGTAGGGTACCTCGGAAATATAGAACTCATACTTTCCGGCGCCGGCGAATTGAGATTATTATTAGAGAATGCAACCGTAACGTTATTACCAGATTGATCCAGTAATGACTGTTGGAGATGTCCGAGGCTGTAATGATAAGAGCTGCTGCTAAAGGAAGTAGGGAAACAAATCTTGCTACTTTGGATTGAATTCGAGAAATGATGGTTGATATCAAACCCATGATCAAGATTACTCCTTTGATCGAATTTTCCTTTCTCAAGATCCAAATTATCACCAGTTCTTGAAGAGCAACTTCCAAGATCGAAACTTTGGAAGATTCCCGGAAAACATTCTCCGGCACCGGTGAGATTAGGTGGGAAATGCAAAGGAGGAAGTAAATCGACGTCGTTTTTGGCAGCTTCTAATAGCCAATCAATGACTTTGCTAGGTTGACTCAGCCCTAATCGTTCTTGAAGGTCGTAAAGCTGAATAGCTGTCACTGCCGACAATCTTATCCTTCTGTCTCTAAGACCACGAACTGTGAACACTTTGCTGTGTCTGTCTTTGCCGCCGAATGCTCTCGAGACTCGTACGATTCTTGGATTTTGTCTCAACGAGTACAAAGAAGTCGTTTGATTATGATCTTTGTTGTCTTCTTGTTTTATTTCCATGTCCTCTCTTGAGTTCAATCTCATCTCCATTTTATTTTTATATATGTTATTAATCTGAAAACAAAAACAGCAGAAAAAAATCAATATTGAGATTTATGTTAGGAAGTGTAATCACATGAAATGAAAGCAAATTCAATATAGGAAAAAAAACGAAAACCAATTAAGATCAAGAACGTTTGAGAAAAAAGCTTTTGGCAAATTATTCGATATTATGTAACAAAGGATATAGATACAACTGAACCAATTCAGAGATCTGAGTATTCAAAACAGGAATTAATGATAACTAAATTATTGCAAAAAAAAAATGATGATATATAGACACCTTACACCGAAAAAGAAAAACTGGTAAGCTTGAATTTAGCTCGAATCGAGTGAATTCTTCGTCAAATAAGTTAAAGAAAATTAGGATTGGAACTTAGATGATGTATAATTGGAAGCTACTTCTCTCGTTTACAACGAAACTAATTAAGAGTGTATAATATATGATATATTGAGGCTGAGCAAGAAATGGA